TAGAAATTGTACATGTGTCCACTTGCTAGTGGTTGTAAACAACCATTCATTGACATAAAGAGTTCTGAGTAACGTTATTAATAATGTGTCCTGAGTTGTAAGCTCTGTAATTATGAATATTAACAGATTATTGAACAGAGTCCTAATTTTAGCAGTTTTTAACTAAATCCTTGACACACAAAAATTGATATTTAGGCAAATGTGATTGTTTGAGAACCTATATTTCAAATTCAACTGTTATGTGAACACTACTAACGGTGTTCACCCACAGTGATGCTTTTACATGGACAAGTTTGTGTGTACTTAAAATGTTTTTGTCTCTGGGATTTACAAGTTGTTCACTGGAAACTTACTTAAAATTGATAGCTTGTTGTTTGCATGCCAACTGACAAGGTAACAATGTCCTGTTTTTGAACACGGGAAGGTTCTCCCTGCTTACCTGTGACATGAATAACAGTAGTTCAAGCAAAGAACCAAGAAACATTCCTGCCCCTCTGATTCAAATTTTTAACACCCTTAAGAATGACAAAAAAAAAAAAATTTCTCACAGAAATTTATTTAAACTGAACATGTTACTTCAATAAAAATAATTATCATAAACATCTATATGACCTGGGATTTTGTTTTGATTTTGAAATGAGAGCTTTTGCAAATGCAAGTTTATTGAAAACTAAAGTCTCAATAAAAACTGCATCAGTTGATGCCTGTTAAATGGTAAGAAGTAACTCAAAGAAAAGCTGTGACAAATGAGTGAATAAAACTTTGTAAAGTGATAATAAATACAAGTTAATGTATATGTAGACATGTTCTGACTCAGCATTTGATGTATGAAATGAAGAATATGAATAATGTTTGCATTTACTTGCAATCTCAGACAAGTAAGGCAAGTCCTAGTAAAGCTAGTTATTCCGTGGTTCTTTTTCACTCATGGCATGAAGTTTTAAAACCTATTATAAATATGACATGATTTATTTATAACATGCTATGTTTGTTTCCATCACCTTTCTTCTAACTTACATACTTGAGTAATTTGCAAGGAATTTTGCATGTTCTCAAATAAAGAGCTCTGTGAGCAAAGATGATTCCTTTTACCGACTGTTAAAACTAGTGTTTAATTTTTCCTTTTAAAGTTGATTGTTTCTAATTATGATACATAACAGAGACAATGCCTTTCTTTCACATTATATGATTTGAAACTGACTGTAACTTGTTGAAGCCCTGTATCGTGTTATCATTCTTGCTTCTTGGGAGGCTTGTTAACCTGTCACAAAAGATGTAAGAAAAACCCAACATTCCTTTTGGAAGACGATGAGCCTTTGTCACCCACAATGCAATTAGTGCTAAAAATAGAAAGAACAGCTATGATACGAGTATGATTAGACCAAGATGAGCTATTGTCCAAGTAATAGGAGCCGATCCAGCAGGCCAAAGATGACCTATACTGAGCTATCAGTTTGCTGATTGCCATTTCTTTCTGAGTTTGATGAAATATTCATGCCTTTGCTCGCCTCTCTGCAAGCACTATTGATTTCTTGTATAAACGCTGCTATATTTAGTCTAGACAAATGGAATGTGGATTGCTGCTGAATAAATTGGATGAAAGACTGGGATCTTGCCTGCCGCTTTCTTTCAGTCTTGGGCAATTATTTATAATCAAGAGCAGTTTTTGTAAGTTGAGGGTGATTTTTCACAATTTAGTGATTAGTCTCTGAACAAAGGCAAGCAGTTAGACACAATCATTTCTGTTGGGATAGCAGGGTAAGAAGTCAAATTACCCTTTGAGGTTTAGAGTAACTGTTTCAGAGAGTTGTGGGTTTTTTTTCTTATTTTTTTAGAATTTTTAGGGGTTGGATGTTTGTAGTATATTGATAATAGAAATGCCTAAAGAAGAGACCCTGGGGTATTTGAATATTCACATTTCTCTTCTTAGGGTAAAATTCTGACTTTCATATATTGGGATTTCCATGTAAAACCTGAAGGCTACAGTTTGGCCTTTTTAGTGTAAATATGGAATATATCATTAACAGCCATGGCTTTTCGTTGGAATTATATCAGCTCTTTAAATTAATGCTCAAAGTCTCATGTTACTCCAGTGTTCCAGAGTCTAAAAGTCTCTCATTGGGCATTGCAGTAAGAGATTTTTAGAGGACATCATTCTCATTTGCTTTCAGAATCATCCCAATTATCTCCCTTCATTTCACAAGTACCAGATTTTTATTTTTTTTTTTATTTTTTTCATCCCAATTATCTCCCTTCATTTCACAAGTACCAGATTTTTAAAAGATGCTGTCCATCAAACTATAATTTGTTAATGAATTATTTTTCCATTTTCTTTAAAGTGTCACATGCAATACCATCAGTGCAAATTTCTGATCAGTATATTGAAAAATAAACTGTGTTTTTAATACCTCTATCTGCACATGGACATGCAATGCAAATGACATGTGAAGACATTTAATGCTTTAGTATTTTAAGCCTTTACATCTATAGATAGGATTTCTGTCATGCTTTTGTAACTCACAGAAAATATTTCTTAAATCCACATGGAATATTAACTTTGTAGGAGCTGGAATCTCCAAATCTAAGATACGTGCAGTAGACAGAATGTCAGCTGCAATTTTGAAGAACACAGAAAAGTAGAAGAGAAAGAATCAGTGATATGTTCTTCCAGATTGTACACCTCTATATCACCAGTCCTTGCTATTAGAATTCACAGAATATTATGATTAAAAAGCTAAGTGTAATATGTGCTTACTTAGTGCTGAGACTCTGTCTTAAAAAAATAAAATAAACTACTAAGTCCCAACATTGAGAATGTAGCTTGAGATTTTAAGGGACACAGCAAATGTGTATTGACAAAATTAATTATACTTAGGTATTTTAAATTGTTATTGTAGCATAAATGTCACATTTATTCCTTTTCTCTTAATGTTATAATAGCATTTTTAATGTTTCATAAATATTATTTTTAAAGGTTGCATATTTTTCTACCAAATGGATGTGACATATTTTACTTAGACATTTCCTTATAGTTGATGATTTCAATTATAGTACAAATAGTAGTTCAACAAATGACATGACACTGAATTGTTTTTTCTGCAGTTCTGTAGTCTCTGTAAGATACATTTCTAGAGTTGTAAAATGTGAATCAGATGGTAGAAATATTTAACACATCTTGATACGTGTGACAAATTTGATTTTGTGGAAGTTTTATAAAAATTGGCAGTGCCACTTGCAATAAATAATTTGATTAGGTACTTAGTCTATAAAATGGGTCATTTGCACACAAATATATGTATATACAGGAATTATATACATACTACTTAATAATTAGATATTGATGTCTTACTGTACAATTTCAATCTCTCTATTACTGAAGGTGATTTTCAGTTGCTGATTTGTATACTCTTATTCTCTAGATGTTTTGTTGCTTTTTATTTTCTAATTTTTAGGGAAAATCGTATACCATTTCATTTTCATATTTGCTCCATATATTTTTGCTAGCCACTCATCATCATTGATCATTAATTTAAATATATAGAATGCTTCAATTTTCATGTGACAAAAACACAGCAAAGTGTTAATTGAGGGATGTGCTTTGGTCTCTCAGTACGTCGAATGAGTGATCTCACTTAAGCTTTCTGATACTTTCATTGTTACTGACAGTGTAATTATTTCCATTTTGCAGGGAAGGAGCGGAGGCCTAGTGTAGTTAATAACATCCTCAGGGCTCTCCAGGTACAAGGACAGGAACCAACATTTAGATATTAAAGCAGAGCTTAAAAACTTGCAGCCTGTCTGTCAAAGTTGACTTACAGGTGACAGAACCATTTTGTTTGGTTCCCAGGATGTTTAGATTTTTCAGATAAGTTTTCAGTTAATAATTTGGTTATTTCCATCTTTGCTGGGTCTAAATTTTTTACCACACCAATAATTGTTTAGATCTGAGTAGTGGCTTCCTTCTTTGGAAGAGCCACACAATCCAGTTTCCCTAGCAAAATTCCTATTGCCTTTAATTGAATGTGTTTCACTTAATTACAAAAACTTTCCCAGTTGGTATAGATAGAGGTCATACTCAAAATATTTAAAAACCACTTAGATGTGGATATTGGTCAATCAGAAGGGACACCAGCCCTAAACAAGTAGTATATCTGGTTATCTATCCTGTCTGTGAGCTTTCCTACTTAAGCCATTCCTTTAGGAAGTGGCGTGTTTATCTGCTTGAAGTTGTACTAAGCATTTTATATACAATATCTAATTTAATTTTTATAACTTTAAATATAATCTTCCATGGTTATTCTCATCAACTCTTTCTTCCCTCAATAGCTAGATTAAATTCTTACTTTAAGTTTCCTCATACTTCTGCCTTGTTTATTTTAGGAATGAGGTTACTGAGATAGAGTTGATTACTGTTTAAAAACCTGCACTTAGAAAGTTGGCTACTTTCCCTCCTTGACGTTTGGATTTGGCATCATTGTTTTGGTTAGTCACTGTTTCCCCCATTTTGGTTTACAGATTTGTATTCTTTCTTGGCATACTCCTGCAAATACATTACATTATATGTTTGACTTTTGCTAAGGTACGATATTACTTCTGACTCTGATTATTTAAAAATATTAATACTTTCACAAATGTAGTTGTAATAGCTCTCCTACATATGGCATCTTTCCCTTCATAGTGTTCATTTGTTGGTCTCAAGTTGACTTAATTTTTTTAAAGGATCCAGTGAATAATTGAACTTACTTCTTTGAAAAGCGGAAATGTAAGGATTTTTGGTCAGAGTATGCATTGCTGCGTGAAAATCAGCATGTGAGACATTTATCACAACTGATGTGCAAAGAAGACTTTTAATCATTATTGAAAGGAAATTTCATGTTAGAATCATTGACACACCATGTTTTGTATAGGTACATTGTCTTTTATTTTTTATTTGTCTTTAGTTCTGTGTGCTAATTTCCAATCTTCTATTCCCCATGCTCTCTTTTCTCCCGGATTTCCAGTGGATGTGAAGTCAGAGGTTCCTGTGGGCCTGGAGCCCATCTCACCTCTAGACCTAAGGACAGACCTCAGAATGATGATGCCGGTGGTGGACCCTGTCGTCCGTGAGAAGCAGCTGCAGCAAGAGTTACTTCTTATCCAGCAGCAGCAACAAATCCAGAAGCAGCTCCTGATAGCGGAGTTTCAGAAACAGCACGAGAACTTGACACGGCAGCACCAGGCTCAGCTTCAGGAGCACATCAAGGTAGCAAATATTTCTTTGTCTAGGACCTTTTTAGTCTGGGCCTCTTCACCATGGCATGGGTGTGAGACATACGCATGGGAGCACTAGCGGGGAAGTTTCACTGTGATTAAGACATAGATGGATGGCTTGAAGGGAATTGTGATTTTGTCAGTGGGAACTTTGGGTAAGTACCTGCTAAACACCTACTTTGCTTCTTAGAGAAGCCTCTACTACTTCTATTCTTAGCTATAGAATCACTAGAAGGGAATAATACTGTAGCTTACCATTCACTTAGGTTCTCTTCTGTGTGTTTGCCAAATCTTCTCACAGTCAAGAGCCATGAGCCTGGCAAGGCACATTTTAACTTTCTAAAGGATCTGCATATCGTATTTAGCAGAAAGGATAAATTAATCATCTCATATAAACAGAGAAAGCCTTCTTCTGTTTTTTATTTGTTTGTTTGTCCGCTTTTGTTTTTTGTTTGTTTGTTTGTTTTGTTTGTTTTCCGGTACCGGGAATCAAACTTGTGACCTGAGGCTGGCCAGGCAGGCACTGTGCCGCTGAGCTAAATCCCCAGCCCCCTGTTTGTCTGCTTTTAATCTCTGGTCAACAAGTGGATGCTCTGGATATGCCCTGATCTTCCTTAGAGAGAAAAAATACAGTGATGTGTATTTCCAAAATAATAACATAAAAAACTGAAGGAAGCTTTATCACATCTTGTTGGAGACTATAGATAAGAATTTATGGAAATGATTTTATGGGTAGTTGAAAGTTGGAGGTGTTTAAATTATTTCAGAAGAAAAAAAAAATATATATATATCTCCCAGCATTTTTAAATGATGTCCCACTTATTACCGATTTATTGTATATGCATCTGCATACTTCTTATTTCATTTGTATCCTCATTGGAAAATATTAGTTTTGTTTATAAATTTTCTAGCTATTTGAGATATTTAAAATCAAAGATCTTCAAATTTGATAAAGTAGATATTTATTTGATTATGACAGTAAAGCATGTATTTACAGTAAAAATGTTTATATCTAACTCCATTAACCATAATATAAATACATGATAATTTAGTATAATACATTATATGTTATGTTGTATTTTATTTAACTGTTTTCTAGGTAGTTTATTACTTGGGTATCAAACACAAGCACACTGATGTGGGGTTAATAAAAATAAGTAATCTTTGCTAAATCATATAATTTTACCACATCAATATTACAGTATCCAAGAAGATAAAAATTCTATCTTCTTCCCTATGTTCTGTGTTTTACAAGAGAAGGCCTATATTGTCTTAATTTCCTAAAATCAGTTTGATATAAAATACATTTTTCTTTTACTACTGAACTTCACTAAAAGAACTCCTAATATATTTGTGTTATTGATCTATAAAGTACCTTAAGAAGAGTAAAAATTTTCTTTTAAGTCCCTTATGAAGTCAGTGACACACAGATACATTTTGAAGTAGACTTCATTTGTTCGTAGGCATATCTTTTCATGCTTGCTAAAGTACTATTTAGTTTAACTTTGTTTTTTTTTTTTTTTTTTGATTTTTTCTCCGGTACCGGGAACCGAACTCACGACCTTGCGCTTGCAAGGCAGGCGCTTTGCCGCTGAGCTAAACCCCCAGCCCCTTAACTTTGAAACAGTAATAGGAGTATTTGTGTCCAGATTGTGTACTCCAGTCTTCCCAGGCATGTTATGATGGCAATGATGCATAGAGAGAATCAATATACTTTACCATAAGGAACTATGTAGTTGTCTTGCTACTGTATGTGGGTCTTGTTTTCTTTAATACAGAGCAATGCTGCTAACTTAATAGTATTATTAATATAATTTATCTTTGGTACTTTTTATAGCTATAAGATTAATATAAATTTTTTAGAAATTAATTTAATTTCACTCAAATGCTAATTATAGCAATTAAATAGTTCTGTGACACGAACAAAATGATATAGTGGATTTATTGACATCTGGAAAATGTTAGAAAAGAGGGTCTGAAGAGAATAAGGAGGATGAGACAATGAAAAAGGAAAATTTAGCTTTTAACTGACGTTTCCAAAGTAATAAGTTATTTTCTCAGAAGTTGAAGTCATATTTAAAACTTCCCCTTAAGATTTGGAAGCAGTTTGCTCTTTCAACTGTTTAATTTTGTGTTACTTTCTATAGGTAAGGCTAAAAGTTGATGCCTTTGACCTTTGATTAGATTTCAGATGAGGAAGACAGTGCATGATGTCTTAACTATATTAGCTTTTTGAACCTCTGGCTTTAACAATCAACATCTGTTGAATTAGATGGTCTTATGCCATTTTTCCACATAGTAAACCGAAGAAGACAGAAATAATGTAACTTTCCAAAGCTACAAGCCTGTAAATAGTTGCTCCAGCATTTGTAGTCTTTGTTTTTCTCCAAGGCTCCTAAATCACCCTGCCTCATTTATGGTCCAGAACATTTGAAAGTAAAGGGGTGAAGTTTTCTTTCTTTTATTTTTCTGTACCTCACTCCTGCAATGTTTGTAAGAGTAGTAGCTATGGTAATTAAATCATATGCTTTTCTAGATTTCTAAGAGAGATTAAACTTCAATTGCATTGAATCTTTGGGTTGAAGTGCTGAATCTGTGTAGAATTCACGCTAAAACAGAATTTAAGCAGTCATGTATTTTTAGCAACAGTAAAACATCTGAAAACATCCATTAAGGGACTGATATATCGGCCAGAATGCCAAAGATTTTAAAACGGAGAGTAACCAGAGTGCTTCTAACCATATCCTTTGGGAGTAGTGAGTCTGCTGTGGCTGACCCACAGAGGTGCCTTCCTCTTGCCCCAGAGTGACCCTGATGTCATTCCTTATGGCTTTCTGTTTTTGTTTCTGTTACTATTTGCTATAAAATTCAGAATTTTAAGTGCTTATCTAATATAAAGGAGCAAAGCATGCTTTCGTTAGTTTTGATTGCTATAGATAATAGTAGGAAATGAGTATGGTTCACACCAAATAACTAAATGTTACATGCATTAGGAACATGTGATGTGAGGGAGATTTTCCTTTTTCAAACCTATGAAGCACCAAGGCTCTGAGTGGTTTAGTGACTTGTCCAGGTCTCATACCTAGTAATGTCACAGGCTAAGTAGGACTCAGAGTCTTTAGTTATTCCTTGCTGGGCAGTTACTATGGTCTATAGATATATACTTCTCAGTCTGGAAGGAAACTGACATCTCCAGATAGCTACTAAGATACTTCATATTCATGTTATTCATCTTTTAGAAGAAGATTCAAGGAATTCACAAACCTGAACAATTTTGCATTAGAGAGTAGTTTTATGTAAGTGATTTCATTTGACCAGTGTCTCTAATCATAAGGTTTCGTGTATTAGATGAAAGATTAAAGACTTGCTATTTTGAAAGAAGAACTTATTGCAGATGTGTAGCTTGCCTAAGTCTATTGAAAAATGCTCTCTATAAGGTTTTGACATTATTAGCCTGCATTCTATTTCAGGTAGACTTACCCCAAATTAACTCACATCTCGCCCTTCTATTCACCTTGATAATTTCCACACCTATTCCCAGGGTAAGAATGGAGAATCTCCATTGTTTATTTACTATGTGAGAGACTATGTAAAGTAGACTTCTGGGCAGTGCCTGCATTTGTGTGTTCATATATTTCATATGTATCAAGGGAAGTTGCTAAAAGAGATAAAAGTTTAATCAGCAGAAACTATAATATCTAAATGGATTTATTAATTAGTTTTGCTCATCAGGCACAAGAAGCATAGTTTCCTAAATCTAGCTTGTTGGTGATACTGAGACCATCTTGACATGAGTTGCTTGTCTTCAGATTTCAATAAGTTTTTTTTAAAAAAAAGTGGGTAAAAATATAAACTAAATACAAACAAGTTCCAAAAGCTCCTAACATTTCAGTTTTGCTCAGCCAGTGATAACTATGAAGCTTAAAGAAATTGCACACTCTCATGTCTTTCTCTTCTCGCAAGTTGCAACAGGAACTTCTAGCCATAAAACAGCAGCAAGAACTCCTAGAAAAGGAGCAGAAACTGGAGCAGCAGAGGCAAGAACAGGAAGTAGAGAGGCATCGCAGAGAACAGCAGCTCCCTCCTCTCAGAGGCAAAGATAGAGGACGAGAAAGTAAGAGGCACCAGGGTAAAAGATGGACTCTCTTCCCTCATCTTTAGCGGATCAACATTCAGAAAGAAGCCTGAGAATGAGTGGAATGAAAGTTGTCAAAAAACTGTCTGTGTTTAATAAAAAGAATAAATTATAGACTCCAATGTACTGATCTTACATTTGCATACCAGCTCTCTTTATTCAGTCTGCAAGCATCCAAAGAATAAACGTAGTATTGACAAAGATGCGAATTCTTGTTCCTTTAGACCTACAAAATAATGTCATACAAAAGCTATCTAGTGTAAACTATCTTGATTAATAATAAAGTTATGCCCAAATCTCCTCATTATTCTTTCCTTACTCCTGCCCAAGTAATAACTACTCTGTAAGTCATGCCTTGCCTCCACTGAGCTCCTGCATCCTTAGACTGGGAAGATTTAAGATAGAACACTTATAAAAGAACCATCCACAAGAGGGAGACAGATCCAAATAATTCTACTGTACTAGGCCAGTTCAAACTCAGGTCGAAGCAAGCTTTAAAATTTGATGATCTGAACTGCAATTGTCGGTGATATTTATTTGTTGAATGCTGAAAGGGATGTTTTAAAATGTTATATTTTTTTAACCTAGAAATTCAGAAAATACCATTTTACTATATTTAAGGGATGTAATTTACTCCCCAAGAGTCCTGATTTTTAAAAAATGTACAGTATTTTGTTCCTCACCAGTATTTTTTAAACTTGAAATGAAACTAATAATGTGGGAATCCCCTTTCTGAAAAAGCCATTAAAGAACTCACTGAAGTTCTTTTGAAAATTGGCAGTTAAATAATAGTTGCAAAGCATCACAATGCCATTTTCTAAAGCCTGTTTAGACTCTACTTTCTTTTTTTTAATAGGAAAACTCCATGTGCTGTGAGCAGTGATATAACAAGCCATTTACTTGTTAAATATTCTAGAGGTGTGAGAGCACACAACTCACAATCAACATCTGTTTTGGTGTGTGTGTGTGTGTTTCAGGGGCAGTGGCAAGTACTGAAGTAAAGCAGAAGCTTCAAGAATTCCTGTTGAGTAAATCAGCAACGAAAGACACTCCAGCTAATGGAAAAAATCATTCCGTGAGCCGCCATCCCAAGCTCTGGTACACGTATGTTCAGTGTTTGGCTGTTTTTATTCTCAAGGTTAAAGAGCGCATGTTCTATATTTAGCCATCTCGGGTACAGATCCCAAGACTGCTGTCTCTCAGCTGCGTGGCCATGGGCAAGTTCCTTGAATTCTTTAAGGATCCCTTTCCTTCTCCATAAAAAGAGGATAATAACAGTACCTGCCTTGGAGGGTTGTTGGACGACCCTATAAAAAAATGTTACATACAATGCAAGAGTTCACTGATTCATGGGCCCTACTCCCTGAGCTACATCCCCAGCCCAGAGTGTATTATCCTGAGGACAAAGAAGTATAGATGTTCATTGTTGAATGGTTAACTGACAAATGGGTTACAGCATAGACATTAATTTGTATTTTGCATTTTTTCTATTCTCAGATGGTACATGTGATATCTATACATAATTTCTAAATGTTTGGCAGATTGTGATTTGATTTGATTTTACTTGGCTTGCTATAAAATGGAAGTCGGAGCTATTTTTAGAAATCCAAATGATTTTGACTGAACTAAATAGTTAAAAGAAGGAGGAAAGGAACTTAAGATAGGGAAAGAAAGGGAAAAGAAGGGGATAGCTAAAATAAACAAATCTAAGTCTTCGGGGACAAGTTTACCCCTACCCATGACACTTCATTTCTTCCTACCCAATAAAATAGTAGTTTGGCTTCTAACACACGGGCTGACAACATGATACGCTGTGATATTACCGTTTATGTTCTCCTGTCTTACCCAGTCCAGTACAGAGATATTATATGGTACATAGTTACTCTTTTATAAAATATGAAGGATCTGGTATTTTTAAAAGCCCGAGCAAAGCACTGATAGGTAAATCATATTTGAATAATAGGTTAATAGATAATGGCTCTGTTCCTCTCGTAAATGTGATCTCTGAATGACTAAGGGATTTGCCATGAATGTATTTTTAAATTCCTCAAATCATCCAGGAAAGGAAGAAATAATTATTACATGGAATCTGGAGCATCTCAGAAGTTTTTTTAAAATAGTTACTGAACTTATAAGTCTATTTTATAGATACCTGCCATTTTTTGCCTTAACAAAAAGGTAAACAGGCAGACTCCAGATTGTTTTACAGATTTTTACAATTTAATTTCTGTCCTACATGTTTTTTAACTTGGGAAGCCAACTTCTAAAGGGTTTTAGATGTTTAATCAATCTTACAAAATACTTTAGAACAATTTTGTTACTTAAAATTGCATTCACAAATTATAACTAGTTCATAATGCCTTCCACTTCAAGCTGTACATGTGCCCATCATTTTTTAGAAATATATAATTTTTTAATGAAAAACTACTAAATTCAAATAAGCTATCATTTAAAAATTCTTTGCAGTTCTCGAGTATATTAGCAATGATTCCCACATGTTATTTATCAAACCTTTCTTGTTTATATGGAATTGAACTTCAGGTAATCATAAATTATTAACTTATGGAATCTGAATTTTATCCTATGTTTGGTAGTTATAAGTAGATAAGATACTGTTAAACTAGTTAATTATTGAGAATTTCTCAAGCAAATAATAGTAAAATAATTATTGTCTTGGTGATATTATGCATTGTTCATTGTCTTCATTGTTTTGAATATTTGTATGTGTTTGTATTATTGAGTAGTCTGTTTAGTTCAGTAGCAGAGGCGTATCTTTTTCAGTAGATTCACCCAGGAAAGAGAAAAAAAATTAAAATTAGCTTCTTATTGAGGAAGAGTGTGATCTCTATTCCACATCTTTGGAACTGTTACAGAAATCAGAACACTTGAGACTTTGGTGTCTTTTCATTAAACAAGCTACCCTCATGTACTTGAATGTGTTGCCTAGAAATTTTTAAAAAGGAAGCCTTTGTTTATCCTTCCCTTCATCTTGGTTGTTCTGGCTTGTTGTCTGTAAAGGATACAGGTGATGACTTTTCATTAATGTGGCTTTTGAGGAAACATACCCAATAATCTCAGATCATCAGAAGCTCAAGAGCTTGGTAAATTCTCACTTTTAGTGAACTTTTCTATGTGACTATAAGACCAGAGACATGGTAGGCATTCTTAGGAATCCTGTGTCATTGCCCAACATACCACTGTATGAACTCAGGTCCATGAGGCTGTGGTTTGTATACACTAAACAGAAAGAACATAAACACAGCTGAGGCACGTGTACTACATGTGCAACTGATTATTGCTGACCAACGTGCGGCAAAAACTCCAGCATCAATGATGAACCTCCTTTGCCTTTTGTAGGGCTGCCCACCACACATCATTGGATCAAAGCTCTCCACCCCTGAGTGGAACATCTCCATCCTACAAATATACATTACCAGGAACTCAAGATGCCAAGGATGATTTCCCTCTTCGAAAAACTGGTAAGCTGATTTAACAAGAACCTCAATTGCTCTTCCATACTATACCTACTTTCATTCTTCGTCCTCAAGGGAAAAGTCAAAGGATTTTAAATTATAGATGTTAGACCCACCTTTCCCCTCCCCAGCACAAACAAGCATGTGCACACACCGCATGCACACACAAGCACTCCTTACTTATTCCTTAATCAGTTGGTTTGTTCTGTAATCAAAGTGCCTTTTTAAATAGTTATATTTGATTCTGAGACAAATTATTTTCCTGTTAGGAACAAAGGGTAGAATAAGGGACGATGTGAACTTGATTCTCAGAAAATGTAACTGTTTTCCATGAGTAAGGCCTCTAGTTTCCTCCACTAGCTGTTGCTCTTCTTGGTTTCAACCACTGACTACAGAAGCGCCAATAATGAACATTTTCTTGCCTGAAAAATATTTTTTCAATCCTAAATTTTAGTTGGTTCTATAGCGAAAATGGGAAAGGCCAAGGCTAACTCCTAAGTGGGTTGTCTAATCCCTCTTGGATTATAGAACTGAGAAAGAAGCTACGGCCCTAATGATTCTGTGTATAAGGTGTGATCAAACATACAGTGAATGCGTACTTAAAAAAACTGTAAATGTCACATTGCCACTAATCTTCTCCAAAATATTCCTCCTTACTTCACATCCTATTCTCGCTGCTTTCTGAAGCAGTTCTGGAAAGCTTTCATGAATGCCTTCAGTTCTGCTATTCTGGCTGCCTTGGTGTCCTGAATAAATTCAAACCATTTGCTTGTGATGGTCATTTTAACTGTGGGGAGGAGCCAGCAGTCACTTGGGGCTCAGTCTGCTGAATTAGGTGAACGAGGACACACCATGAGTTTTTACGAGCTGAGCTTTCCATTGGGTGGGACTCAGCCGCAACATTTACCATATTTTTATCATACTTCATAAAGACAGCCAAGAAGGAAGACTTCTACATCTGCTTCAGAAGCTGACAAGAACAAGGGGATATGAATGTCTGAAGCAAGAGGATGTGTTTCAGAGCGGGGGTTAATTCAATATATCACTGTATATTTTGATCACACTTTACAGTTATGTTACAATTTGTTTAGGCAAATCAGCATAATAAAGCTTTGTTGGGAACTTAATAAATAACCTGAAAACTCTAAGGCGTGTACTTTTATCCCATCTTTTTTTTTTTGCATACTCTGATACTTTTACGTTTAATTTGTTACATGCTCTTACACTTCAATAAACACATGTAAACATTAGCTAGATATGTTGTACTCACAAGTAGCATTTGGGTATGCTAAGTTTTACAGTGTTTGCCAAATACAGTTCTTTAGAGATAATTGTTAATTTAAAATTTTTTTATACCCACAATTGATCTGAAAAGGTATTCGTAGAAGACAGTGTAGATTACTGAGTTTTACTCAGATCTACTTGAAGAAGTATAGATAGCTGTAAATTTGTATATAAAATCTACAATTTGATGATTATTTCAAATTTATCTTCATTTTTCCAAGCAATTTTGAGTAATTAAAATAGATACCAATTATAAAAACACATGCTGAAGTTATTTTCCGCCATATAATTTAACGGTAGCATAATGAAGATTTAAAAACAAAAACCATGAATTAGAATTTATGACCTACTGTCTACCTCACATTGTACAAGGTACTGGGAAAAGATGGTTGGGTATCACAAAGCAGTCTGTGCCTTTTTGTTTTTATAGCCTAAAGATTTTTGTATTTCTAAAATGATATTTGTAGTTAAATACTTCAATAGAAGATTATACAAATGCAAAAATGACTTGAGTTTCATGTAGGGCATCAGAATTTCACACTATGATATACAAATCGTATTGCCTTTCTTATAAATAAACTTCTCTGGGATAAAAGGAAGAAAACCAAGAGTGAGCCTCGATCTATTTCTAAAACAGGAGTATGGTTTATGAAAATTGATCCGTAAAGGACATGAGATTTAGAATGTGGGAACTTTGATCTACGGCCTTGACATTTAGTTATAGCAGTGGCGTGTGTAAGAGCTATTGAGACAGAATATGTGAATATTGTCCCAGGTCTCAGGGCAGTGACTGGCATCCAGGACCCAAGTAATCCCTACAAGGAAAGAAAATACGGAATCCTCTTACAGCAGAGGGTTACTGATGAGTGATATAGTTACATTTACAGAGAAAGGCTTCTATCCTGCTGAGCACACAGGCTTGAATATATTCTTAACACTGGGAGATTGAAATCTCACTGCAGAGCCGGTACTCTGTTTAAAAAGTGACATTTGGGACCAGTAAGCATTCAGAAAGAAAATATGATCTTTTTTAAAACTTAGGGATAAATTACTAAAAATTCATACTTTGTATCCTACTGTTTCCATGAGAACAGCTTAGGTTTTTCCTCTGTGAAGAATGAATAACAAGTTGTTAATTTATTCTCACTGAAATTCTCAATCCACAACAAAACTCAAAGAGAAATCCTGCTCAGGATATATGTTATGCACCTTTATTCAAATCTGTGTAAATACGCAAGACGTTTTTTGTGCATGTTTATGTAATATTTTATAATAGTGAAAATCCCTGGCCTTTTCCAGTGATATATTTTCTGTGTTAGCCCAGTATTTCAAGTTTCTTCCTTCTATATTGAAAATCTGATATTTATGAAGTGTCAGGCTGTTGATCTGTAGAATGAAACATTTTTAAGCGTTGTAGCAATAAAGTTCTTGAATAGCTGCTAATACTTTAATATCTCTATAGGGGTTTCAAAATATTCCTAATTCAATTCCCATTGTCTAAGAAAGTATGATATAATTAAATCCAGATGTTCTTTACATGCTATACAAAATACTTAGAGATAACCTTCACTAATTACAAATAGGCAGACCTCTTCCAACTCTTAGAAATACGATCCGTTTGCTATATTGCCAATTCTATTGTGAGATAATTTAGACATATATTTGCACTCATTAGAAAAGCATTGAAATATTTTGAAATAATATTTTTTACTTTAGCACTTGTCTCATTTCAGTGACTTAAAAGTCATAACAAAAAAGTAAACAATAAAATTTTACCATAATAAAATGTAGGTGATGATTGGAGAAACTGCTAATAGTGTTTGTATATAAAGCCACGCCGTGTTCAGATGAATCTAGAGTAGTATCATACCTCACATAGCAAAAATACCAGCGCAGCTATTGTAAATTCATGCTTTGCTCTTGGTGCCAGATTATTAACCTCTGTTGTCTACTTGAATTTCACTGCACTCAATTTTAGACTTAAAAGATACTGTTAAATTAGCAGACCCTATCTTTTGTTAATACTGCTTTTAATTTTAAGTCAACATCATTGCTGAGTTACTTACATGACACAATTTAAGGGGATGAAACTGTAACCTGGGTAAGAAATTCCAATGACCTTAAGTTGATTAAGGTAGCCCTGGGGTGTCCCCTAAGCAGTAAGCACAATTTGGAGTCTCTCTTGACCTTTAGGCACCTCCCCCAGGAGTGACAGCTCAGGAACAGTGAACTACAGAGGTCTCTTTGGCCCGCAGAAATCTGACCTTTGTCATGCAAAATGGACCTTTACTTCCTTCCCCTGAGGAGAATCATCACTGACCCAAAAATCTGGACCTTGGAGAAATATCAGAATAATACTAATGGTTCACTCTCATCATGCCCATTCCTAGTTCACTTTAAATGTAGGGAATAGGGGTCTGTTGCTACTTTCACAACAATCAAAGGCTTTACATAATTGTATTGAAGTTGAGAATAACATATTGCTTTTAATTTTTGTATTTTTTGCCTACACTTAAAGTAATTCTTCCTGCTAGAATTTTGCCCTGTGGTTCCTTTTGCTCTATAACAGATGGATGTGTGGATAGGAAATTTGGAAGAGTTTAATGACCTTGATGCATGGGTCCAGGTACTGTTATAGCTGTAGTACGTAACTTATTCTCCTTATAGAGTACACTGCTAGACTGGCAATAAACTGTAAAGTAGGGAAAGAAAGCTTCTGGGTCCATGCACTTTTGAAATAGTACGCATTTCTCACAGAGATACTACTGCATACGTAGTGACTTTGAACTGACCTTCAAAACCATTTAATTTGGATTGTGTTCCAGTATGTGCATGTTTCATAAAATATTATGGTAAAAAATATCTAGAGGTTTTATACACCATTATGTAATTGAGGTCTCACTCAGTGAACTTTGCCTTTCTTTGAATCTTACAGCCTTTCCATTTAATGCTTCTGAACAAAAATGAGCTGGCCGGGTAGATTAACCTCTTAAAGTGAACAAACCATATAAAGCTTGGCTTGGGCTAATAAGGCTGTTGCAGCCCTACTGAAATATTCATTTTAATGGCCAGCAACACAAAAATAAGACTCGAAGATGGAATGGGTCCAAACATAAGTTAAGGTTTTGGAAGGCCAATGGCATTTTCCACTGAGTAAATTGGAAAGGAGGCAAAGATGAGATATATAGCTTTATAAATCTCCCTTCGGTGTAGCCATCAGCAGTTATGTTGTGGTACCTTGGTGACGCATTCAAGTTATTGTAATTCAAAATGAATACATGGAGATTTTTTATAAGGCCTTAAAATCTATTTTATCCTTTGTCCTCTTTCCTTCTCTTTCTCCTTCTCCCTCTCTTTCTTTTCTCTTTCTTTCTCCCTCTCAGTCTCTTCCTCCCTCTCCGCCATGCAAACTCTTTTTTCTCGTAGTACACATTTTATAAACCCATGGAGGTACATAGTTCTACAAAGGTAGCACCATAATAGCACTTATGCTCATAAAACCTTTCCTCAAAATCATATCCCGGGTTGACAAACACTGGAACATTTTCATATATTTTGGTACTCTTAGTTTTGTTGTGATGAATCTTGCCTGATTTACACTAGTTTTCCAGGTACTGAGAATGATGCAGTGCTATGATGCAGGCTTTGAATCTATGCTTTGAAATCTCAGGCTGAAGATTTGGGTAATGTAACTTCTCTAGGCTGTGATTCCTTCACCTGGA